AGTTTGGACCAATATTTTTTTTATTTTCATTCTTCTTTGCTATTTCTTTATTTATCAAACTTAAAATCCTTGTTTGTTTCAAGGAAGAGGGAAACAAAACTTATATGAATACGTTACATTATTTCTTATGATGAAAAAAAAAACATGTATTTCAAGAATAAAATAATGTTTTCTTTTTTCATATTCAAACAAGAAGAAATGTGAAAAAAGACAAATATGTTTAATTATATCTTTATTGGGTTGTTTAGATTAAAAAGATTATTTGAGAGTGAAAAAAAGGGAAAAATAGTGGAAAGTGAGATTATTTGGATTGAGAGAAAGAGAGTTGAAAGTGAAAAGAAATAAAAATTGATTTGATTAATAAAAATTTAATAATGGAGTAATTAAAAATATAAGAAAGAATAAAAAAATTAAATTAGCTGAATAAAGAAAAAAATAAAAATAAAATAAATATATTTATTTTGATATATTATTTAAATATTTATTATTATTATTATTAAAATTAAAAAAATAAAAATAAAAATATTTGAACTAGTTTATTATCTTAATCAAATTAATTGAATATCCTTATTTCCTCGCAAATCTTCGCATGTATACATAGAAAGTGAAAAGATACTTTTTGTAATTGGATTATAAATTTCGATATCTTATTGGAAAATTGATTTTTTTATGCAAATTTCACGTGTCCTACTTTCATGGCAAATTCGCGGTTGGATAAAAATAGGATGCATATAATTGTCATAATTTTTTAAAATGTTGTTTTTTTTATTGTAATAATAATTAAAATAATATAAAAATAATAAATAAATTTACCTCACTTCTCACAGCTTTTTGTTCTCTTGCATTTAATAAAAATTAATTTATTTTTCCTTTTTTTTTCACTTTCTTACTTCTCATAAATTAATGAGTGTGATTATATATGTTGTATATAGTACCTTAAAAGTTAAGGCTCAACATCCATCTTACATATATCCACAAAATCAACTTTTATCATAATATTATGCTGATATAAATTTATAATTTACAAAAGTTACTTATTTATATATATGTGTGTGGGTGTAATTTTACAAAGTTTGACTTCTTGATTTTATCCCATGTCCATCCATGTGAATATCTGTTTGACCCTAGCTTCTTTAGTGTATGTGTAGGGTAGAGTTAGTTTTACATGAAATCAATCTTTATATTATAAATTTTAGTTATAATATAAATTTCAGGAACCACATGAGGCCACACACCTCAATTATCCTTCAAGGTTGACTAATAACAGAGTGAGAATATAATAATTAGGATATTATAGTAATCATGATTAATTTGCCGAATATATAATACATGTGAACCCAAGAACAACATAAAAAAAAAAAAGAAATGTACAAGGATTATCGTTAATATATATTTAAGATATTGATATTGAGAGAAATCACTGATAAGTTTTAACCTTCTTATCATATATCACTACAAAATAAAAAGTTGATTATCTACGGCAAAAATCCGTAGGTAATGGTAAAAATCCGTAGATAATGTCATTTTATCTACAGATTTTTTTTCGTAGAAAATCCGTATGTAATATGGTCGTAGGTAATTATCTACGGAATTATTGTCCGTAGGTAATGTCATCCGTGGGTAATTACCTACGGATTGTAATCCGTAGCTAATTACCTACAAACAGAATCAGTAGATAATTACCTACGGATTATAATCCATAGGTAATTTTTTTAGGTAGTTTATCATATATATTTAGTTTCTTATGAAGATTGATAATCACGTATGTATCATAAAAGACGTCATTTTCAAAATTTATACCGAATATTATCATATCTTTTAGGTTATCTCTAAGATTTCAAGAGAACTTATTTCTAATGTATGTAGTTCATTATTCCATGTGTATACGATATTCTTATTAAAATTTAAGAAATTTTATATATATTTTTTCTAAGGTGTTATTACCTATACGACGTACGAACATGGCATTGTAGATTTAGGTTAACACTTATGAACCCACCGTCGTAATTTTAACATTTTTTTTATATGAATCATTTTCTATACAACACAACAGAATTTTCAGTACACTACTCTAGTTTAGTTTGAGAAAATAAAATCCATTCATCTTATTTTCCTAGTGAAAAAAGATTTTTTTACGTCACTTATTTTTTTGTCGGATCTAAAATTATTCGACCTAACAAAATATAGTGGTGTTTTTGTAAATATAATATGTAACTTTTATGTTTGACTTCACAGGAATCGATATAAAAGTCGCATTTTATTTTTACACATAACTTTTTCTTTCTCGCGTGCGCAAAAGTTTTTGAGGATGACAATGACAGGTGACCATTTCAGTACCTTCTAGGGTATATTTTGATCACAGTGAGCAACGAAAACACCTATATCTGTCTCATTTGTGGTAGTTGACGTTTCTCTCCTATTTGATTCAAATTTTAGAGTATTTTTTGTATATTCAAGGTTAGTGTTTTATGTCTCCTCTTTTATATTCAAATTGAATCTGTGATTATTTCTCAAAATTTCCATCACGTTATTGCATAAATATCTCAAGTGGATTGTTATTGAAATTGAACTATTGTAGTTTATGATTGTTATCATTTGTTTAAAAATGTATTCGTTATGGTAACACTACTACAGATAAGGTTTTCCACGTCGGTTATGCAAGGCCTTCAACATCGGTTCCACAACCGACGTTGTATTAACCACGTTGAAAGTTTAGACTTTCAACATTGATTCTATATAACCGATATGAAAAGTCTGATTTTTCAGATTGATAATTTTTATTTATTTACAACCCCTCTATTTATCTAGAGGTCTTCTCCCTTTTATATTATATTTTTATTATTTATTATCCTCTATTTATCCAGAGGTCTCCCTCCCTATTATATTATATTTGTATTATTTATTATTTTTTTTAGAAGTTTGAATCATTACCAAATTAAATTTTTAAGAGAATTGTCACTGACAATATTTGAACTCATATTTGAACCCAATACCTTAGAATTGAAGGTTGATACCCTAACCACTAAAATATAAACAATGTAAAAAGTCTGATTTTTTAGATCAATAATTTTTATTTATTTACAACCCCTCTATTTATCTAATTTTTAAGAGAATTGTCATTGGCAGGATTTGAACCCATTATCTTAGAGTTGAAGATCGTTATTCCAACCACTAAACTAGTAGAATTTTCAAATAATAGTTTACAAATAAATTGTATTTATATATTTATAAGTTGGATGTGAGAGCACGTTCGAAGGTGAAAGTGTATATCGAGTGAATTTTCAAAATTTGATGCCAAATTTGTGAACGAGTCTCTTTATATGGGTTTGTAATTTAATGACAGAATATAATCTTTATAATTTATCTATATAATGATATAAAATAAATTTGGAAAACTCGTAATTCACTCAAGCGAGATATTTTTGCTTGAGCGAGTGAATTTTCGTGAGTTTAACGTATTTTTGCTCAAGTGAGATTCAATCTCACTTTCACCCTCGAGCGGACCCTCACATCTAACATATAAATATATAACTATATAAATATATCAAAATATATAAATATATTTGTATTTATATATTTACACGGATATACATTTATTTGTATATAAATATAATTTATTTGTAAGTTTTTATCGAGAAAATTTTAGTAGCTTAGTGGTTGGAATATCAACTTTCAACTCTAAGGTATTAGGTGTGAATTTAGCCAATGACAATTTTCTAATTTAAGTAAATTTTTGAGTAAATTTTCAACTTGAAAAAAGAAATAAAAACACTTTCTACATCGGTTACAATAAGAACCGATGTAGAAAGTGTGTTGATAAAAAGACTTTCCACGTCGGTTTATCTATTGACAATCCAATAATATATGCAAACATAGATGAGTGACTCCCAAAGGCATATATGTTTGGCTCCATAAGGGTTCGTATTTTAATTTGTAGTTTTTAATTGTGGTATGGTTTTGTCAAGAAATGAAAAGCCTATTACAAACAAGAGTAATTTTATCTTTTTTCATTATGTTTTTAAAGTGTAAATATATTGAATAATATATGACTTTATTAAAATCGTGTCTATAACTAATGTTTTAAGTAGAAGACTCGAAACAAAGAATTTACACTTCATTTATCTCAGGTTAAAACCTTACTTATATAAACACCATAATTATTATTTGTATTTAAATTTTGAAAATAACATTATGTTTTGTTTCTCATTTCAGTGTAATAAGCAAACAGACTCTTTTGAATGTGACATTATATCATGTATTGGATGAAAGTCACAGGTGTGTGTGAGTATAATTGATTCTTTGATGAGAGATATTTGCTTTCAATATTTGTTAGATTGATTTATCTTCATGCGTATTATATGTTAATATGAGTCAAATTAATGTTTTAAGTATTTTTAGAATTTATTTTCATTATCAGAAGATGATATTACACAAATTAAAAAATAATGAATAAGTTTTTTTGTTCAACATTTTTAGTACTTAATTTATAGATTATTATTTGTATTATATTGTATTATGTAGCATTTAAGTAACTTAATTTTTGTACTAATTTAGTCTTTGTATTAGTTTAACTTTTAAGTAGTTTAGCCTACTATTTATTAAAAATTTGGAATCTAAATTATTTGTGATTAAAATATTTTTTGCAAATTTTGATTATAAAGACAAAATAAATTGAATATTAAAAAAATATCTCCAATGTGTCAATACCGATATAAATTTTGTTTTATTTTTTAATATTCAATTTTTATTTTTATGTTCAATGTAAATTTTAGTCTTCCTGATAACTTTTGTCAAACATATAATATATATATAAACCATCATGCTTAATGTATAAAAAAATATTTTCATGATACGCTTTTTATAATTTAAGATAATAAACTCTATCTCTTTCAAAAGTCTAAGATGTGACGTGAATAGTAAAAGGTAGTGTAGAATTAAAATTCTTAATAATCCACTTCAATTTGGAAGAATAGACCTCCTACGAACCAATATCGAAGAGGATGACATTGAAATGTGTTTTGAAATTAACTTCTCAACCTAACCTCTCTGTGACCAAAACAAAAGGCTCAAGTTGGGTTTCTATCAATTTCATGTGCTAAAGCTTGAAAAATGAAAGAAGGGGCAAAACGGGCAATGAAATAGGTTCCTTTGGCTTTGTTAGGTTCACGAGAGAACGTAGTACAAACTCGTAGTTTCACATGTAATGAAACGCAACAACCCCTTTTTGGTCAATTGAACTCGACCAACTTGTTCCTATTTTAATAATACGTCCCCCACATGATCTTCATTTAACCTTTCATCTTTTCAAAACCCAACCCTACAACCTCTCTCTTTCTCTCTTACCCATTACACTACGTTCAAGCTTCAATCTTCAACCTTCAAGCTTCTACAACTATATATATATATATATATATATATATATATATATATATATATATATATATATATATATATATATATATATATATATAATATACGTAACCCTAAGTACAAAACCAAACCACCCCTCCAACTTCACTCATTATTTTTCTTTCTCTTAGGAAAACTAAGAGGAAATAGAACACTAAATCCTTTTAAAACCCCTTTAATTAATTCCACAACATCTTCCTTCATTCATTATTTATCAACAAACATCGATCTTCTTCTGATTCAGAGATTAGTTTAAATTTCTAATCCAAAAATACTTCTATCTCAGGTATTATATATTCATATACTTTGAATGGAGTCATTTTTCTGATTCAGAGTGCTTCTAAAACACACGATTATCTTCAACTTGTCTGTACAATGCCGCCAAACCCACCCATGTCATCCCTTCTCCTCCACCGGATCAACCACACCGCCGCCGCAAACTGCCATGACACCCTCCTTGTGAAGCCCTTTGCGGCGGTGCCCGACGCCGTGGCGGGTTACCACACCCACGCCGTGGCGACTAACCAGTGCTGCTCGGCAGTGGTGCAGGAGATCGCTGCCTCGGTGGCCACCGTGTGGTCCGTCGTGCGGCGCTTCGACAACCCGCAAGCCTACAAGCACTTCGTGAAGAGCTGCCACGTCATCGGCGGCGACGGCGACGTCGGGACTCTCCGGGAAGTCTACGTCATCTCCGGACTCCCCGCGGCGCGGAGCACCGAGCGCCTCGAGATCCTCGACGACGAGCGCCACGTCATCAGCTTCAGCGTCGTCGGCGGGGACCACCGCCTCGTCAACTACCGCTCCTTCACCACCCTCCACCCCGCCGCTGCCGGTGCCGGCACGGTGGTGGTGGAGTCCTACGTGGTGGACGTGCCCCCGGGGAACACGCGCGAAGATACGCGCGTGTTCGTTGACACGATCGTAAGATGTAATCTTCAGTCACTAGCGCAAACCGCAGAGAACTTAACTCGACCAAACAATAACAACAACAACGACTACAAGTTCTGTTCCTAATTTTCACCTTTTTTTTTCTTTTACTATTTATTATTATAGTATCATTTTATATATATATATATATATATATATATATATATATATATATATATATATATATATATATATATATATATATTGTGCTTGGTAATTATCTATTGTATGTGTATATGTGATTATCATTACTGGATGGTTGATTGTAATAGTTGGATTTTTAGCCTTGTTTCCCTTCAATTTTGTTGTATCTTAATTTCCTGTGAGAAATAGAATACTAGGTTCCATTGTAGGATATATATTGTATTTTAGGGGTGCATATTAAGTGTTGCATGGTGGTTGAATTAAAAAAGAATGGTGTTGATTGAAGGGTTATTGTTAAAGTTAATGTGGGTGGTAATCCAAGTAGGACCTCCTCCTTTTATTAATGAAGTTAGTGGAGATGGTGAAGATACGAAAATACATTGCATTAAGTAATAATTAATAATAGTAGCCAATTGAGGAAATAATTACATGTAAACTTTGAATTGTAAGCATATAAAGTGACAAGTAATAATATAATATATTAGAATTTAAAAAAGTAAGAAAAAAAGAATAGAGAAAAAGGTGAATGGAATAGCACATTGAATATGCGAAGGTGTCGTAACTAATGTCGAAGATCTATAGAGAGAAAAGAGGAAGAAAGTTGGAAGGGGTCCATGAAAAAGCAAAGGAAGTTGAAGCATGTAAAATAGGAATTTAAAATTGACGGAGAAAAAAAGGGTGGCACGTTTGTCTGAGTGTGAAGGGGGAACAGTAAACTTCGTCGGTTTGTGCAAGTTGATGAGCAAGTGGAAGAAAAGAGACAGAAGGGAAGATGTGGGAAAGCGGAGAGGTTTGATTGATTGATTGTTAATATATGGAAATTACTCTCTTCTTCTTCTTCTGCTTTTATCATTTCTCTTCTTCTGATCAAATTAAGGAAAGATGTTCTTAAGAATGTGTTAAGAAAGATGGGTACAGTGTTAAGTAGAACTCTCACTTTTTATTTTTAATCAGCAAAAATCAGAGGCCATATATATACTTTTGACATGATAGAATTAATAAAAGATTTAGAAAGAAAATAAGAATTTATAATATTGAAAAAATAAAACTTAGAATAATAATAAGATAAAAGAAACTTACACCAACATTTACATTTGTTTTCAAAACTTACAACTTTTTTTTTCTTCCCTCTTTATACGAAAGATTATATATATTTATAGGGAAGCGATAACTTTCTAAGAACTATTTGATTTACATTTTTATCCTTGAATAATTACAATTTTTTTTATTAGTGGCTTATATTATCAAATCTTTTTTTTAGAAAATCTTTTTCAAATCTTTAAAAATATTATCTCATTCTTTCTTTCTTTAATCTTGTCAAGTCTTTTTCTTATCTTACTTTTTACTTTTTCTTTTTTTTCTTTTTGAAAATTTTGTTTATCTTGTTGATTCTTGTATTTTTCATCTTGTTTTTTTTTCTTAATCAAACATGTCGAATGGATTATACTCTTTTTCTAGATCAACTTTCGAGTTGACTCGATTTTTTTCTTTTTGAAAATTTTGTTTATCTTGTTGATTCTTGTATTTTTCATCTTGTCTTTTTTTCTTAATCAAACATGTCGAATGGATTATACTCTTTTTCTGGATCAACTTTCGAGTTGACTGATGATGATGTCTTAATTAATTTTTTCATTTGTTTAAGACTTGTTATCAAAGCTAATTCTGTCATTAATCTTTGTTTTTCTACTAAAAATAATATTTCTTGTGTTATTGTTGATGATGATGTCGAATCTTATCGTTCTTCATAATTTTGATGTCAATTGTCTATTATTTTTCTTGTTATGATATCAATATTAAACTTCTTCCACCATTTAATCTTATACTTTATTGTTAAGCATTTGAGATATACATTCTCGTACATTTGTTCAATAGTAAGATCTCAAGCTAATATCCATGCAATAGATTGTGTTGTCGTAAATGAGATTAGTCTGTATCCGGAGGTAAATGAAGTTTTATTTCAAAAATAATCATATACCTATCTGACTTGAGAAGGGAAAAGAGCTGGTAATTGTCCAAAGTCCGAGAACCATTATATAAACCATTTTGGAAATTTTAAAGAAATACCCTTTTTGAACTAAATAAACTAGGAATGGGTTTCTGGATAAACATACAATGCATTTTTTTCAAGCTTCCATATAATCATAATAATAAGTATAATATTGGGGCTGAAATTGTCTTCAGGAAGGATTTAGATTAATGTATGGGCTGATTCCGGTCTTGAGATGATAAAAGGTTAAGATTTTTTAGCTTTGAAAAAACTGTGGTTCCAGTCTTGTCTCTGGTATGGGAAATTTCTGCAGAATCTGTGTCTATGAGGATAAATTCATAAAAGGTTCTGGTTTTACTTGGGTCTATAGGTATATAATAAAAGTCTTTAGGAAATAGGTTTTGTGTTGTTAATTTACCAGTGGTTTGTATCCATGGTTTTCTAAAATAATAATATGGGTAGTATTGGGTTTTTCCATGTATTCTTCAGTAAGAGAATCTTGTCTAGGTTGATTAATTTGGGGATAATCGGCTAAATTTGTTCTTGTTAAGGAAGGGTTTAGGAAGTCTTTGGGTCCTACTAGGACATTTTGATATTGAAGGGGAGTGAAGCGGTTAGAAGTTTTGATCAAAGGGTTTTTAGAAGTACGTGCTATTGTCGGAGGAGTTTTTAAAATATCTGCCAAGGTAGCTTGTCCCTTGGACTGAGGTGTTTGAGGCCTTAATAATATTGTCGAGGTATTTTTGGGTGATCCTTGAGAGGATTCGCTTTTGTCTTTATTTGATGATCCCAACGGAGACCATATTGATCCTTACTAAGTGATTTTCCACTCATGTTGATTTTTCCAGGTAAAAATTCTCTTGTCAAAAAATCTGGTAATAAATTGTTTTTTTCCTTTTATGTGTTCAATTTCAAAATCAAAGCAAGATAATAAAGCTTTTCATTTTGCAAAAATATGTTTAGAAATAAGATTTTAAACATCTTTTGTTAAAACACTTGGTGCAGCTTTGCAATAAGTTCTAATTAAAAACTTTTTATTAAATAAATCATCTTGAAACTTTTGTAAACATAATACTATTGACAAAATTTCTTTCTTGACAATTGAATATTTTTGTTGAGCGGGATGTCAGATATCATAATGATATCTAACAATTTGTTCCTTAGAAGATTCTTGAACTTTTTGTTTTAAAATTCTCTCATATCCTAACTCAGAATTGTTTGTTTTTTCTATTAGGAAGACTTGAGAATTTGGAATTCCTAGACAATGAATTTTCTTGACTAATTCTTTTATTTTAATTATAGTTTGGGTCATATCTTCTCCCCATGGTGGTGGATTTTTTATAAGTCTTTTGAATAATGGTGCACAGACTATCCTAATATTTGGAATAAAGTCTATTATATAATTGACATATCCTAAAAATATTTGTAATTGTTGTTTATCTTTTATTTTATTTGGAAATTTTGAAGTAAATTCTAATGATCTTTGTATGGGTGTTATTGTATTTTGATAAATTTCATATCCTAAGAATCTTATTTTTCTTTGAAATATTTTCATTTTTCTGATCTGATACTACTAATCCATTTTCTTTCATTATTTTGATAAATATATCTAAATGATTAATATGTTCGGTAATATTTTTAAAAAATATTAATACATCATCCAAATAGACTATTAAAAATTTCATATAAGGATAAAATATATCATTCATTATATTTTGAAATTCACTAGGAACATTTTTTAATCCTTGTGACATTACATTCCATTCATAATGTCCAAAGGGTACTACAAAAGTAGTTTTATACTTATCTTCTTCTTTTACTTGAAATTTGATAATATCCTGATTTTAGATCAAATTTAGAAAATACTAAGGCATTATGTACTCTTTTAATTAAATCACTTTTATTTGGTAATGGGTACCTGATCCATTTTAATACTTTATTTAAAGGTTTATAATTAATTACTAATCTTAGAGCCCCCTTTCTACTTCAAAGGCCTTTATAACATAAAACCCTTTACAAATCCAGGGTGATTTTGATGGTCTAATTAATCCTTTTTCTAGATATTCTTGAATTTATTTTCTACAATATTCTAAATATTCTTGATTCATTTGGATTGGCCTAGCTTTAGTAGGTATATTCTTTTCATCAAAATTATCTATATATGGTAATTCTATAGTATATTTTTTTCTATGCCAAAAAGTCGTACGATTGATTTCACATATTTCTCTTTCTATTTTTTTTTCATAAAATTTTATAGTTTTTTGAATATTTGGACTGCTAAGTTATTCTTCTATCCTTTTAATTTTTATTTCCTTATTTAACATATTTATTTGTTTTTTCTTTATATCAATTTGGGTTGTAGATGATTCTTTTAAAAGGTTTAATTCTCTAGTTCTTGGTGGTTTTATAAATTAAAAAAGAAATTCTTTTCCTAAAATACTAGTTGTTAATCCTAATTCAGTTACTTGAAAATTATATAATAATGTCAAGAACGAAGTTCATAATATTAATATTACTGAAGTATTCATATTTTTTATTAATACAAAAGAAGTATTATAACAGTCTTTGTTTTTACATATTTTTACATTAGATAATTTATATTGTATATTCATTCTTGATCCATTAGCACTTGTAACTTTTTCTAATGTTTTTTCATAATATTGAGTAGGGATTAATCCTTCTTGAATACAATTTACATCAGCTTCAGAATCAACTAAAACTATTATTTTAAATTTTTCTTCTTTTATGATTAAAGTAATTTCTACATGCCACTTATGAATAGTCATTAGGTTTAATAAACTAATATAGTTTTTATCATTTAAACTCTCATTTTTACTAGCTCCTTCTCCATTTTTCTCTTGATTTCTTATAAAATTTTTTTCCTTCAAGTTCTAATAATCTATATTCTAAAGATACATAATTTTCTTTTAGTATTTGTATTTCTTATTTAAGGTTT